AAACCCAATTACAGGCAATGATAGTAAACTCAACTGATGGCAATGATAGTAAACTCAACACAAGACAATGACATTAAACCCAACACAAGGCAGTGATAGTAAACTCAACACAAGGCAGTGATAGTAAACTCAACACAAGGCAATGATAGTAAACTCAACACAAGGCAATGCTAGTAAACCCAATTACAGGCAATGATAGTAAACCCAACACAAGGCAATGCTAGTAAACTCAACACAAGGCAGTGATAATAAACTCAATTACAGGCAATGACAGTAAACCCAACACAAGGCAGTGATAGTAAACTCAATTACAGGCAATAATAGTAAACTCAACAGAAGACAATAGTAGAAAAATCTACAGATGGCAATGCTAGTAAACTCAACACAAGGCAGTGATAATAAACTCAATTACGGGCAATGACAGTAAACCCAACACAAGGCAATGATAGTAAACCCAATTACAGGCAATGATAGTAAACCCAACACAAGACAATGATAGTAAACTCAACACAAGGCAGTGATAGTAAACTCAATTACAGGCAATGATAGTAAACTCAACAGAAGACAATAGTAGAAAACTCAACAGATGGCAATGCTAGTAAACTCAACAAAAGGCAATTATAGTAAACTCAACACAAGGCAATGATAGTAAACTCAACAGATGGCAATGATAGTAAACTCAACACAAGGCAATGATAGTAAACCCAATTACAGGCAAAGATAGTACACTTCACAGATGATAATAATATGTTATTAGTGTCAAGTCAGTGTTTTGAGATGGGTGTACTGTATTGAGAAAAGGAAATGCCGGTGATCTTAGATTTCACGAGAAAAAACATGGGAATCTCAAACTTTCAAAGACATGTACATATTAATCATGCGCTGTAGAAATTCAATTTCTAGAGGCAGAAAAAGAGATTATCAAATCAATTCAATACTACCGTGCCATTTCTGCACACTTTGGTGAGAATTAAGGAAATGTTATCACTGCTTCGAGCCCACTTCATTAACTTTTTTTTCAATTTCTATCGCCCTAACCTGATTATAGTTTGGATGGAGGACCAAAAATTTCATTCTGGTTGCTAGGAGATGTAATGTAGGTTATCATGTTGCCCTATAAGTGTGTTTAGCTGGAAATAGCTCTCGGTAGCAGCTTATTACTTCTAGTGGGGATAAATAAATTTATCTACTGTCACGTTACAGCATCAGTTTCTATATCAGTTTTACTCTGTGTCAGAGCTGTAAGTAAGTTGATCCTGTACCTAGGTATTGATATATCATATGGACATATCCGTCATATAGACATGTCCAAATGTCATTTAGGTACGTACCATGTTATTCAATTCCTGTAGAAATAGGATTGGTAGTATACGGTCTATTTGATGAAGAATTAACACAAACAAATTAAATAATTTCATTAAATAATCAAATGATATTAATGATCGAGTACATTTTTGTTGGTTTAGGTTTTGCAGACTTGTGGTGCTATTCTAACAGAAAAACATCTGTAACCAATACTTAACCAATATATCATGTGAAAGTAAAGTGTCATATTTATTTTAGAGTCACCTGGTTTTTCCACTATCACCCCTGCTTCCTTTTCTAAATCATATATACCTCTCAATATTTTCATGTCATCTTCTGCCGTTTCTATATCACCACTGTCTATTTCCATATGACGCCTTTCTCTTTTCTATATTTCCTGTTTCCATTTTACTGCTATCTGTTCTCTTCACCACCGTTCTCCATCTTACCCCTTTCTCTTTTCCATATCACATTTTCCTTTTCTTTATATCACTACTTTCTTGTTTTGGTAACAACTGTTTCCATACTTCACATTAACAGCTATCTATGGTCATTTAAGGACGTACTAGGTTTTGATGGTGGACAAAAGCAGGAATACCTGAAAAGAAATCAAGACCTGCAGCCAGTACATGGCAACTGCTCCGTGTAGGCCTCGAACCGGCGACCCAGTGATGGATGGTTAGTGGTGGCAGAATGTCAGACGCCTTAACCACTAGGCCACCGCGACTCCCCCAAAAACCGAAGGCACATTGTTAGCTATTTAATTTGTTTGTACATTAGAGGATCCACTAGTCTACTTTTATCATCCTCAAGGTGGCACATACAGATTTCGTCATGGCATATTGCAGGGGTGTAGAGAACATACCTGAGCGTAAAACCCGGAATTTCGGGGATGACACATACTCTACTCCCTCCAACTTCCATAGACCACTTTGACCTAGACTGAGAATAAAGGACAAAAAAACAGCAATGGTGTCCATACTTTTTACTGCTCCAGAATTGCTCTAACAGTGACAGATGAAATGATTTGCTGTTTCTTCAAATATCTTGGAACCAAAATGATGCACAGCTTTTGTGATTTCACATCATCTCGTATAAAAGACCATCTACGACACAATGTTATTAAACCGTCACAAATAATCAGTCGATGGGATTCATATATTCATGTCCCCTAAATAAACTGAGGATTAGGATTTCGCTGTAGGGCCAGGAAGCAATTTCTAAGACAATTTTCTTTTTGTATAAACAGGACTACATGATAGATAATTCTGACTTGTTACAGAAGATGGTTAATTGTAAGTTCACTACAGATGTTTTAGCTCAATGTTACTAGATTGTGGCCTGTTCAAATTATAGGGCTTTAAGGATTCATCAAATCGTGTTGTATCGCGATACTTTCTTGTGAATCATACAAAACTATTTTGTTTGCCTGTATCTCGATACACTATCAATACTAAAATTATCAATCATTTTTTTTATTAAATTCTCAAAAAAGTATACTTATTGTTTTGGAATGACCAAAAAGTACTATAAGTTAATCCTACAAAAATGTATTTACTATAAGACTAGGATGTCGGCCAAACGATATAAAACCCGGGGGGCCTGCACACTATCATGATGAAGTTGACTTCTTAAGCAGATGTGTGTCTTTATACGTACGATATCAAAGCATTGTATTGCGATTTGTATCATATCTTGAGGTATGTGTATCGTATCAGTCCTGAACTCATTCACTAAAGACACATTTGAACTCCTCCAATTCAAAGGTTGGAATGGTTCATTATGAAATTTCAGGGGTGACTGAGTTAAGCTAGGACTCCTGTACCTCTGTAACTAAGTGTTGGAAGTGCTTTTTCGGGTATGGCTATAGCTTTGATGGATCATTCTGAAAGAGAAAACCATACTTTCATTGGAAATAATAAACTTAAGATGAAATAAATAAAATGTAACCAACAACAGTGTTTTCGAGTTAAAAAACAATTAGCTTGGCTAGACCGGGATTTTATCCCGGGACATCAGATTGATATAGTATCGCTCTAACTGATTACCCTACTTGGTCAACAGATTGACTTTATGTGTATTTAGTGTTAATCCATGTTGGATCAAAAAATTATTTCACCAAGTTGTGAGATAACCTATTATTTATCGGTGGCGGATCCAGAGGTTGTTTTTGGGGACCAGGAAACCCCCCACCCTGAGAATTTTCTTTAAAAATCATGTATTNATCTGCCACTATTTATAACCTATTATTTATAAGATCCTGTTATGTGGTCTCTCACAAAATTCTCATGATAGCTTCCATTGAACCTTCTCCAACTAACATATATCTTTGTTCAGTGTGTTTTAACTGAATCTGATTGAAGCGGATGTGACTTTCCTAAATATGATAGGTGTTTTGACCAAGCCTTCTTCAAATGGAAATTGCTCGATGGCTGAAATTTACTTGCAATAGATTATTGGAACAATTGGAACCGGTCACCAATAATGTTTCCAAATTATGTAAGGAAATTAAGACAATTTGTGATGCATACTCGTTAAAAAGCAATTTGTCCCAAAACACTTGCCAGTGACAGTTACACCCGATAGGTAAGCTGTGACAAATGTGTATTGGTACGATTTTTGTCAAAATCAATGGTGATGGCGATTACTGTCGGTGATTACTTCTGATGGATTGTTTGTCACCATGCAACAAGACGGGTGATAGGAAATTATCAATGGCCGATTTACGTTGACCTAACTATGACAGATAGGTGGTGTTGTGTTTGTGTGTGTAAGTGAGCGTGACAGTGATAATATTGAAAGGTTGATAAACAGTTAATCTCCATTGGGTGATCACTTTGTCTAGGATTTTCTCATATAAATAATATCATATAAAAAATCATCCTTTTTTGTCAATATTTTATGGAGAACTTGATGTATTTTATACAAATGTCTTATATTATTCAGTATGTGTTTTTTCAAACATCTTTTTTTAGTTATAGCTACAGATTTGAGTATTATTTGTGGGTGTGGGTGTAGGGGAGGGGGGAATTAATGAAAGAATAACATTCTGACTGGATGGAAATTTGTTTTTCTGTCTTCATGATCACACTTCCTGTTGCCATGGAGATCTCAAATCTTCAATATGGTTTCCTCCGCACAGATAGAAACAAAAGGAATTTTGTCTCCAATATCTCTACCTTTGTTGGCATGGTAACTATATGTGGAGAAAGACTAAGTCATAGTATTTTACCCAAAATCTGTCTAGAACGTAAATTTCCTGTTTTATGCTTTAATTTGAGATATTCCCAGTGTGGGAGTAAACCTGCAGTACAAGACCTTTCTTCTGAGACAACCTAAAACAAATATACTCCATGGCAACTTATGCCTTTTTCCTTTTTCATTGTGAGCAATATAAGTTTTTTGGATAAATGCAACCTTGGGTCTTTGATCAGCAAGTCAAGGTTTGGTTGAGTTTGTTTGTGCTCTATGTCCTATTAACAGCTGTGGTCATTTAAGGACGTGCCAGGTTCTGGTGGTGGAGGAAAGCTGGAGTTCCCCGCCCGAGAAAGCCATCGACCTACGGCCAGTACCTGGTGACTGCTCAACGTAGGCCTCGAACCCGCAACCCAGTGGTGGACGGCTAGTGGTAGCAGAATGTGCGGGGAATATCATGAAGTTCACAGATGTTGATTAGAGTTATTTTTCCTTGACAGGTGATCTTGGTACGCTGGAATGAGCCGTACCAGAAGCTGGCTACCTGTGACTCTCAGGGGGTGATCTTTGTATGGATAAAACATGAGGGACGATGGTCCATAGAACTCATCAATGACAGAAACAGTCAGGTAGGTACCGGTGTTATCTTTGCGTGAATCAGATAAAGGAAATGCTTTGTCGTGCAATTTGCCAATAACGGAAACTGTCAGGTAGATAGGTACACGGCATCAAACATGAGAGATAAGTTCATCAATGATGAAAAATGTGTAAATTTTAACAGAATACCTTGAACAACAGGTTTAATTTGTATCAACCAAAAAATTACTGGTTGTATGAAGCCCAAGGTCGGATCATTTATGTAAAAGGTCAATAATTTAATCTTGCTGGTAACAAGCATTTTAATTGGCTTAAAAAATTATGTTATCAGCCCATAACGTAAAAAATGACATCTCTCTTTGTAACGTCGCTTTTGATTGGCTGATACAGCAGTATAACAATTTCTAAGAGAAAAGAGTCCATCAATAAAAGTGGATTTCCAATTGGGATTGTGTATAGAAGATTAAATTATAAGGATTAACTTGAATATATTTTTTATGTTATGGAGCTATAATACAAAAAAACGGAGTGTACTCTCATCAGAAATCGCGAATATATTCAAGTTAATTCTGAATTAGCACTTAAATTTTTAGCCCACCATCATCAATTTGGTGGGCTATTCAAATTACCCTGCGTTCGTGGGTCCGTCCATCCTTTAACAATTCTTGTTAGGGCTATTTCTCAGAAAGTACTTTGGGGATGTTTCTGAAATTTCACTCAAAGGTTCCCCTTGGTCGCCTGGTATGCATATCAAATTTAGGGACAGATCACAAAACTAATTAAGACGGCTGACAGGCAGCTATCTTTAATTTGAGAGCTGAAGTTTGTTAGCACTATTTCTCAGAACGTACCAAAATGAACCTTGAATTGAAATATATAATCATTAAAGTATGATTATATTAATTTTAGTGGTTTTGTGGTGCTATTCTCATAAAAATCGAATTCAGAAAATGAAATATTTATTAAAAATTAGTTTCTAGATTTTCAGACTACTGACCAGTGTTTGTGGTGAGTTTAGAGACATCCAAGTTAAACATCAAGACCTTTGTATTTTGACAATTTGCAAATGGCTGGAGATTTTTTATGCCATAATGTTACTGAAAAAAGGTCCTAAAAATGACTTGAATTTCATAGTGTAATTCCTGTACAAACCCTGGAAATGGAGTTGATTATATTGTGGCAGTATTGATAATTACATCTCCAGCACGCACTCAGGCATACACACATAGGGAGATATTAGCCAGGTGGCATAGGACTAGTAGTTAGCGCCTGATAAGGCAGCTCCTGCGAATTCAATGTATATGCCAATTGTATTAATTGTTTATCTATGTACTGTAAAGCGCTTTAGATTGGCTTATGTTAGCTAGATAGGGCGCTATATCAACTGTGGTACATTATTATTAGTCCCCTACCGGTGAAACCGGGGGGACTATAGTTTTCCCCTCCGTCTGTCCGTCCGTCCATCTGTCCGTCTGTCCGTCTGTCCGTCTGTCCGAAGAGGTTTGTCAGCACTCTAGAGCCTTCATTCTTTCATGGATTTTAATCAAATTTTACACACATGTAAAGAATTAAAATATCTTCAACAAGTTCGAGTTTCAAGGTCATCGGATCAAGGTCAAGGTCATTATTATTATAAATAGAAAAACTTTGTCAGCACTCTAGCATCTTCATTCTTTCTTGGTTTTTAATCAAACTTCACACAGTCATAAAGAATTAAAATATCTTCGACAAGTTCGAGTTTCAAGGTCATCGGATCAAGGTCAAGGTCAATATTACTATAAATAGAAAAACTTTGTCAGCACTCTAGCGTCTTCATTCTTTCTTGGTTTTTAATCAAACTTCACACAGTCATAAAGAATTAAAATATCTTCGACAAGTTCGAGTTTCAAGGTCATCGGATCAAGGTCAAGGTCACTATTACTATAAATAGAAAATCTTTGTCAGCACTCTAGCGTCTTCATTCTTTCTTGGATTTTAATCAAACTTCACACACTCATAAAGAATTAAAATATCTTTGACAAGTTCGAGTTTCAAGGTCATCGGATCAAGGTCAAGGTCACTGTTACTATAAATAGAAAATCTTTGTCAGCACTCTAGTGTCTTCATTCTTTCATGGATTTTAATCAAACTGCACACACTCATAAAGAATTAAAATATCTTCGACAAGTTTGAGTTGGACAGGTTCGAGTTTTAAGGTCAAATGGTCAAGGTCACAGTTACTATAAATAGAAAATTTTATTTAACATTCTTCCTTGCCTGTTTATCAAACTTCACACACTTGTAAAGATACCTTTACAATCAACAAATAAGATTTCTTAGTATTTTTATTCCCTTACCGGTGAAACTGGGTGGGGGTGGCAGGGAGGGAGAAGAAAACAAGAATACCTAAAGTTTTCCTCGCTGTCTGTCCGAAGAAGTTTGTCAGCACTCTTGCGCCTTCATTCTTTCCTAGTTTTTAATCAAACTTCACATTATTGTAAAGAATTTAAATATCTTGGACAATTTCAAGGTAATCGGGGCAAGACAAGGTCACTATTACTATTTTAGAAAATCTTTGTCAGCACTCTAGTGCCTCATTCTTTCATGGATTTTAGTCAAACTTCACATTATTGTAAAAAATTTCAATATATTGGACAAGTTCAAGTTTCAAGGTCCTCGGATCTAGGTTGAGGTCACTGTTGCATCTTAATAGATTGCGGGGGCCGGTAGGGGACATGTATTGCTTCAGCAATACTCAGTATGCTTGTTATTATAAATAACTTGTGCATTTGATAGTTACCAATTAACCTACAGCTCACATTCCCTCAGTGAAAGTCTAAGTCAGAAGATGGAGTTTCAGGAGGAAGCTTTTTAAAAGTACCAGAATTAATAATGCTTTGTCATCTGCAATTGTAAAGTTTTGTTCTGTTTTATTATTGATGTTTTATCAGTGAAGAGAAAGAGTTCTGACATCAGTGCACTTTTGAAATTTGTTTGGAAGTTAAAGAAAAAATAAATAAAATCTGCTGATGTTGCAGTTTTCAACTATACTGTGGGACTTGCCACTAGTCAATGTAGTCTTTATGGAACACTGTTTCTACAAGAGATAAGACTATGTTAAGGATGAAATAGCAAGAGGAATATAATAGGTAGTTGTGTATTGTATGGATGAGTGTTTGGGGAATCGAGATACAATTTTCCCTGCAAGTATCCCATACTTCTTATCAGGGACTTTTTCTTTTTAAATTTTACAGACATTTAATTTCTAAATTAGAAAATGTTACAGAGGTAATATTATTGTTATTTATAACTAAACTAAATTGCCACTTTGTCACGAAGTGAATGTGAGATATTTGACAGTAATGCTGTGGAGTCATTTGAGATATGTTTGAAACAATAAAATGTAGTGGGTATTTGACTGTTTGTAAATATATGGTAAATGAGTCAAGCTGTTGAAGTGTATTTCGAACCTTTAAGGAGGTTGTATTAGATTCGCTACTATATTTGATTACCTTCTCCCACATAGCTAGAAGATAATTATATAACTGGTGGTTGGATTAGGATAGTGGCACAACTAGATTAGTGATTGCTGGAAAGTGGGACAAGTTGATTAGTGGTTGCTGGATAGTGGGACAAGTTGATTAGTGGTTGCTGGATAGTGGGACAATTGATTAGTGGTGGCTGGATAGTGGGACAACTAGATTAGTGGTTGATGGATAGTGAGACAACTAGATTAGTGGTTGCTGGATAGTGAGATAATTGATTAGTGGTGGCTGGATAGTGGGACAACTGGATTAGTGGTTGCTGGATAGTGGGACAACTAGATTAGTGGTTGCTGGATAGGGGGACAGTCGATTAGTGGTTGCTGGATAGTGGGACAGTTGATTTGTGGTTGCTGGATAGTGGGACAGTTGATTAGTGGTTGCTGGATAGTGGGACAACTAGATTAGTGGTAGCTGAATAGTGAGACAACTAGATTAGTGGTTGCTGGATAGTGGAACAGTTGATTAGTGGTTGCTGGATAGTGGGACAGTTGATTAGTGGTGACTGGATAGTGGTACAACTAGATTAGTGGTTGATGGATAGTGAGACAACTAGATTAGTGATTGCTGGATAGTGGGACAGTTGATTAGTGGTGGCTGGATAGTGGGACAACTAGATTAGTGGTTGCTGGATAGTGGGACAACTAGATTAGTGGTTGCTGGATAGTGAGACAACTAGATTAGTGGTTGCTGGATAGTGGGACAGTTGATTAGTGGTTGCTAGATAGTGGGAAAAGTTGATTAGTGGTAGCTGGATAGTGGGACAACTAGATTAGTGATTGCTGGATAGTGGGACAACTAGATTAGTGGTAGCTGGATAGTGGGACAGTTGATAAGTGGTTGCTAGATTAGGATAGTGGCTAGGAGGTCATTATTTTAACTGGATGATGGTAGAGTTAGGAGGTCATTATTTTAACTGAATTATGGTAGAGTTAGGAGGTCATTATTTTAACTGGATGATGGTAGAGTTAGGAGGTCATTATTTTAACTGGTTGATGGTAGAGTTAGGAGGTCATGAGTTTGACTGTTTGATGGTAGAGTTAGGAGGTCATTATTTTAACTGAATGATGGTCAATTTAGGAGGTCATTATCTTAACTGGTCGATGGTAGAGTTAGGAGGTCATGATTTTGACTGTTTGATGATGGAGCTAGGAGGTCATGTTTTTAACTGGTAGATAGTGAAGTTGGGAGGTCATTATTTTTACTGTTTGATGGTAGAATTAGGAGGTCATGATTTTAACTGGTACTGTTTGATGGTAGAGTTAGGAGGTCATCATTTTAACTGGAAAATGGTAGAGTTAGGAGATCATTATTTAAACTGGTAGATGGCAGAGTAAGGAGGTCATTATTTTAACTGGTTGATGGTAGAGTTAGGAGGTCATTATTTAAACTGTTTGATGTTGGAGTTGGGAGGTCATTATTTTACTTGTTTAATGGTAGAATTAGGAGGTCATGATTTTAACTGGTAAATGGTAGAGTAAGGAGGTCATTATTTTAACTGGTCGATGGTCGAGTTAGGAGGTCATGATAATAACTGTTTGATGGTGGAGCTAGAAAGTCATTATTTTAACTGGTTGATAGTATAGCTAGGAGGTCATTATTTTAACTGGTTGATTGTAGAGTTAGGAGGTCATTATTTTAACTGGCTGATGGTAGAGTTAGGAGGTCATGATTTTAACTGTTTGATGGTGGAGCTAGGAAGTCATTATTTTAACTGGTTGATGGTAGAGCTAGGTGGTCATTTTTTTAACTGGTCGATTGTAGAGTTAGGTCATTATTTTAACTGGTCGATGGTAGAGTTAGGAGGTCATTATTTAAACTGTTTGATGATGGAGCTAGGAGGTCATTATTTTAACTGGTCGATTGTAGAGTTAGGAGGTCATTATTTTAACTGGTTGATGGTAGAGCTAGGTGGTCATTTTGTTAACTGGTCGATTGTAGAGATAGGTCATTATTTTAACTGGTCGATGGTAGAGTTAGGAGGTCATGATTTTAACTGTTTGATGATGGAGCTAGGAGGTCATTATTTTAACTGGTCGATGGTAGAGTTAGGAGGTCATTATTTTAACTGTTTGATGATGGAGCTAGGAGGTCATTATTTTAACTGGTCGATTGTAGAGTTAGGAGGTCATTATTTTAACTGGTCGATGGTAGAGTTAGGAGGTCATTATTTTAACTGGCTAATGGTAGAGTTAGGAGGTCCTTATTTTAATTGGTTGATGATAGAGCTAGGAGGATTTTAGTAGTTCCCATTGGTTCCCTGTGGGGATTTATATGTTTCCACTCTGTCCGTCCATCCTTCTGTCCTTCCTTTTGTCTGTCCTTCTGTCCAAGAAGTTTGCCAAGGACATATCTTCTATACTAGTTTCACCAGATTTGGTGTACAAGGACATCTTGGGATGGCAGAGTGCAAGAATTAGATCGCTGTTACCTATGCTTTGACCTCTGTCTTTTACTTTTGAAATAGTTTGTCCTGGGCCTTTTTTCTATACTATTTTAGCTTGAGTAACCAGATTTGGTATACAAGGACATCTTGGGATGGTGGAGTAGTGCAGAGTGCAAGAATAGGGTCACAAGACTTGACCTTTGACCTTTATGATTTTTGAATGTTTGTCAGGGGAATTTTTTCTATACTTTTTCATCTGAGTATCCAGATTTGGTGTAAAGGAACATCTTTGGATGGTAGAGTGCAAGAAGTAGGTCAATATGACCTCACTGTGACCTATGCTTTGAACAGAATGTACATCCTGACATAAGTGTACTGTTTGTTCAATAATGACAGAAGGAGTACATATTTAAGCGGTGTTTATTTTAAGCACTTTTTATGCTTAAATATGCGCTAAATTATGACTGAGCTGATTAGAGTATCTGGATATGGTTTCTTATTCCTTATATTGTGCATGCACATTTGTTAATGTGCTAGTCTGATAATTTGATATTACGCTAAAATTAGAGTCTGCTAAAATAAGTTCTTTTATGGGAATGAAACCAGCTATGTGTACTTTGATTACCTATACTAACAGTGCACTAAGTGATATAGAAATAGTTGTCAGAATACATTCACTAGATCTATAGCGTGGTGCCGTGTTGAGAAATAAAGTCAGCCACACATCTCTCGCTGGAGGCCAGGTGATTGGGTTTCGTCCCTGGTGAATACACCTTTGTAGCTTCTCTCAAAGGCTTCATGAGTGTCAAACAAAACCAATACGAAAATAACAGTTTGCTGTAGGGTCCCAAACTTGAAACTAATGGTAGGTCTACATCTGTCTGTGTTGTTATTTTTCATCGAGCTGTACGCAGTGTCTACATCATCAATCGTGTGTCTGTTTTTCATGCGTCGGTGAGTGTGTAGGGGTGTAAAACGGGCCTTGGAGGACCAACAGCAGGCTTTGTCGAGAATCTCGAGGATGAGATATCGCCTCTTTAACGGTGACAGCGTGCCAGTATATGCCGGGTTTCATTAGATTAGAAGAGTTTCTGGCTATTTTTGGTTAAAAAGCTGCAGGACGAAGCGTCTGGAGGATTAAGGCGTCTGAACTCTGATGTGAGCAGGAACGCTCACACTAGCCAACATCTCTTTGAGGGTTAACTGTCATTATATTGGAATTGATGGTAGGAACATCATATACATATGTTATGAACAAAGACGTAGTTATCTCTTGTTTTGCCTGCCAGCTTTATTTGTCTTGTCTGACTGACAAACAGACTCGCACATTTACAACACCCACAGACGTACACGAATGGTAAAATTCAATGAATGGATTACTGCCGTTACTTGTCTGTACAAAGACAATTTCTGTTATGTTGTCTGTTCAAAGACAATCTCTCTAATATCATTATCAATCTTATCACTCGGTAGCAGTGCTGTGATTGGATGAATCAGTCATAAAACAATCACACAAGGTCACATCTCTCACAAAAGATCATACCTCCCACACAAAAATAGTTTTGTATATTGGGACATTTTCGCTGCAGTTTAATTACTGCCTTTTTCACCCTCCTTAATGATGGCAAATTTATCATTACAGCAATGTTAAATGTGAAGAGCGAAATTAACGCTGGGCAGATGAGGATTTTATGGCCATAGGGCGAAAGGTTGACTTGGCAAAATTTTGGTGGTAGACAGTACCTACCAAACAAAAGTGCTTGTCCCTCAGAAAAATCATACACCTATATCTGTCTGTACAATAAGGTTCTGCTTACCTCAGAAATATAATAAATATTTTGTTGCCAAAAAAGATCATTCTTTTTTTTTATGTATTTTGAAAAATTACTTAAAAGAAACACAAAAGACAAAAAGAAGAATGATTATAGCAAGGGAGAAGTTTGTATTTTTGAACGTTGATGATGCTGTCATTTAATATAAAAAAAATCATTTTCTAGTTATTTTGTATACAAATGATAGGAATCTGATGCAGAAAGTTTGTATCAGCAGCAGAAACATGCTGTTAAAAATAATTAATAAGAATATCACTGAATGCTTTAAGGGTATATATCCCACATTGCTATGACATGCCAGAGAGTTCCATACTATTGGGACAGATTTTAATTGTACATAGGGTTACGATCGCCTTCTAGCTTTACGCTAGTGGGAATATCCCTTTAACTCCGTGGTGGAGCGTTCGACTAGGAAGCGTCCAACTAGGAAGTCTGGGATGGAAGGTTTGATCCCCGGTGGAAGCACACTACTCAATTTCCTGTAATACTATGAATACCATCAAATGTCCTTTGTGAAGTTTTATTAACTCATTCACCCCTGAAGACACCTTTGAACTCTTCCAAATCAAAGGTTGGAATAGTCATTATGAAATTTCAGGAGTGAATGGGTTAGTATGATTTAGCATTTGAAAGGTACGCAAGACTACTTGTGCTTAACAACACAGGCAGCTCTTTATTTAAATAAAAGACAACACTTTTTCAAGACTCTGAAACAGTACAAAAACTAAAGTAAAATGAACTATAGTTGTCTGCTATTTCATTAGTGTTTTGGCAGACAGAATACCATTTTATAACCAACCCTTTCACCACTGTTGACCTTATTGGACTTGTCCAGGTAAATATATGGTAGAGTCTACTAAAGTTTCCTAGGGTTGAAAGGGGTAGAAAGTATTCCAGTAATCCAACAAACTTTAATAATTCAGCCAGTTAAGCTGGGAACAAATGTAATTGAGTTATTGGTGAATCTTTGCTGATATTTTTGTCACATGTATTTTAAAACATTTTTTTTTTTTTTTTTTTCCTTTTTTNTCACATGTATTTTAAAACATATTTTTTTTAACTTTTTTTTCTCTCCATTTCTAGGTAACAGACTTTGCCTGGTCACATGACGGGAGGATGGCATTGATCTGTTACTGTGATGGTTTTGTGTTGGTTGGGTCTGTGGCCGGACAGCGGTACTGGTCATCCATGCTGAACCTGGACAACACCACCATCACCTGTGGGGTGTGGTCCCCTGATGACCAAAAGGTAAAAATTATACATTTGAATCACTGTACTGTGAAACCTGTTTAATCTGACCCTGAGTAATCCCACATCCTGTCAGAACCAACATAGTGCTGTAATCTCACATTTTAAAAAAAAAGCAAAAAGACATGTGTGTTCTGACATTCTGTCTAATTTCAGCAATATTTTGTGTCACACAGAGTGTCATATTAAACAGGCCAACCTAACCAATCTGTTTCCCACAGGGGGTCAGATTAGACAGGTCAGTATGACCAATATGTTCCACAGGGTGTCTGTTCTGACCCAGGTTTGGCCTTGAGATCTACATTCTCTCATAGGGACTTGGTCCCTGGGTCATAACATTGAAAAGGTTCAGATCCCCACCTTATAACTGGTTATATAATATCTGAGTATGAAATGGCACATATGTATAGCTACCAGGATTGGACCAAGGGTCTGTTGCCATACTTAGTAACTCAGTCCCTGAATCATAACTTTGGAACAGGTGAGATCCCCACCCTATAACCATGTATGCAACTACCTGTCATTAAAACTCTTATACATATATGCTACAATAATTGGCCTCGGACCTGCCCCACCCCTGGCAACTTAGTCTCTTTGACATAACATGAGATCTCCACCCCTTAAATAGATATGTAATTGCTGGCCATGAAGAGATGAACACAATCATGCTACCAGAATTTGCCTCCAACCCTTAGGGACTTATACAGTCCCTGGGTCATTACATGGAAACATTTGAAATCCCTACCCTATAACAATATATACAATTGCTGTGCTTAAAGATTTGGATACACAAATGCTACCAGGATTGGCCTCGCGACTGAATGGGTATCATGTCTGATGCCTGAAACATAAAGAATAATGGTGTGATGTTTTAGATCTGTTGCGGATGAAAGTCGGATGCAATCTATGAATATCTGATGTGTTCATTTTCACTTTCTCAATTCAAAATGACTGGTGGTTCAGATCAGTAACTCTACTAAAATCACCCCAATTTGATTGAAATCAGCAATATGCAGGTCAATGATATGGCATGGTCTATGAATATTTAATGAGTTCTCTGACATTTCCTTATATCCATTCTGATTGGCTATTGAAGCGTGGATTATTTATTCAACCAATGCCCCTGTTTTCTTTATAAATATTTAGTTCAAATTCAGTTGGAATAGGAGGTTTTTGTTGTGTACACTCCCACTTAATTATTGCACACTGATATTAGGTTCCAATCTTGGCTGTATGATTTGAAATCATCACTTTACTTCCATAGTTGTTTACTTCAATTATATACCCCTCTGCCCCTTATCTGTCAAGGGTAAAAAAGGTCAAGGTCACTCCATCACATTCTTGTTATCACTATACAGCGGCCATATTTCTGAATTTTGATGAACCTTGACATGTACGCTAACTTTGTCATACCATGGACATGTTTGAATACAGGTGAGTTCGGTCAATAGTCAAGGTTGCGCCATCACATCTCTTATCATCAGTACACAGCGGCTATATTTCTTGACACATTTTGATGAAACTTGAAAAATACATGAACTTTTAAAGATATCGTTGTTAAAATGCATAAATAACTATATATAGGACCAGCAAATGACTTCAGTACCAAAATTACCTTTAGCGATATCCAAGTTAAAATACATAGAAATAGATGACTATGAGACCAAACAGTGACTTTATTGGTATCAGATATCAATATCATAATTAATGTAACTCTGTGCAAATATTTATAGAATATTTAGAAATTAAGGACAAAACTGCATTATTTTCCATTTTCTCTCAAACTATTTGTAACTAAACTGATTATTTCAAAGTTTTGAACCTCCAAGCAAAGTATTTTAAATTTCATTTGTGAGGATGAAATTTTCCTTAAATAGGTGTATAACAAGTCATCACAAAGCTTGTTATAAGTTGTCAGTAATTTCAGATGATTAGTTGCTGGGGCAGGATGTAGAACTCTTTAGTTGGGAGGTGTCAAAGTGATATTTTTGGCACACATCAAAGATTGCTGTGTGTGTGCAATATTGATGAAAAAACTGTCTGAGCGTTATTGGAGAGTTAAGTGATTGCATTGTTACACAGTCAGTGGTCGGCAATCAATGGCAAATTGGATCAGCAGTGTCAGCAAATATCATATGCATTAACAGCTAGGTGCCGCTAGGACTCACTTCACTGGTGGCAAATATCTCTTTTAATTGACAGTATAATGTTCCTTAGAAGTGCCAGCAAATATCAAAACTAACTGACAGTATATAAGGTTCTTAAGGACTGTAAAGCAAATATGAAATTTATTTGACAGTAAAAACCCTTACAATTGTCAGTAAATACAAAAAATAATTGACAGTAGGTTTCATTAGGACTGTCAGCAAATATAAAAAATAGTTGAAAATAAGTTTCCTTAGGACTGTCAGCAAATTTCAAAAGAAATTGACAGGAATGTCCCTTAGGACTGTTAGCGAATATCTAATTTAACTGTCAATAAGGAAGCTAATTGCACTCATGCAATGACCACTATAATCATGGTTACCACTTTGTCATACTTGTGCACAAGTTAATTATCACTATATTTGAGTTTACATTTAGTTAATCAATCAGCACCATATTTTGTTTGATTATATTTTGAGTAATGTTAATGAATTCATGGCCATGTTTAAAGTTAAATAGATTATAAGTTTCTTACCTGTGAAACTGAGATGCCATTTTCGTGCTTATCAATTGTAATAAAAAATAAGGCCTTTTTTTAATACATTCATTGCCCAAAAAAAACCTTTTCTATTGGTTACGAACAACTAGTCTGGAGGTTTTCTATGCTATTGGTAAATAATCCCTGAAATAAACATGTTGTATTGGAGATTTGTATGATGGAGCGGTATACAGTGTAACCCATATGTCTGTACCCTTGCGTCATGACTCTACATACTTCATTTCTTAACAGATTTTCATCAAGAGTTTATACAATAGTCGAGTTTGATTATACCTTTGATGAGTTTGAATTTGAGGGTTCCAAGGTCAGTGTCAAGGTCAATGTTGCTATCTACCTGGTATATCCACCACAGGTCTAAGGGGGCAATTATATATTACAGATGCTTCCTATAGTCTGAGTAATATTCACTTCACCAGTAATCAGATCTTGTTTACTTGCTGATGATGATAGGACTGAATTGATTGGTAAGAATATCATTTCTATAATCATAATGACAGCTTTCTTGTCTTAACAAATTTGCCACAGGGTAATTCATTGTAAAAGAAAACTACTGGTCTGGTATTCATTGTCCAGCTTCACCAGACAGATTCAGGACTGATGCAGTTAACGCAGGATTAAAAATTGATTGAATAATTAAGGCATGTCAAGAAATCAATTAATCCAAAATTATAAAATTAAAATAGAGGCCTGATTAATCTGATTTGTGAAATAGACGCCTGCAATTCATTTCATATATGCCATATCAAAATATGAGGGTTTAGGCCTGGAAAGTTTTGTAGAAATGATCAATCAGGATTTCACCAGCTCTGGTTTATAACAGTGAGGCCTAAGAGTATCGTGGCAGCTACTATTGGTACTCAGAAACCACCGAACGAATTTGAACGAAATTTGGTGTGAAATATTGTTATTGAATAAGGGGATACACATTTACATGTATAAAGGGATAATATTTTTCTGGTTTCATATTTATATATATACCCCACACCTAATGGGGACTGATCATGGACAGGGCAAAAAATGGTAATTATTGATAATTTTCAGGAATGTTTTCCTGAACATCCATAAATAGTAGGGCAAAGCTATTTGAGGAAGGTCTAGATCTAGGTAATGAAGTAAGTCCTTCATACAGAGAAAATCTTATCCAAAATGGAACCAACTTCGTTAAATATGATTAAATTGGGGAAAAAACAAATTGCTTCTCAAAAATAGTTCCGAATAGATTTCAAGTATTTTTCATGTTAAGTGCCAGTATATCCATGGTGCATTGGTGTTAATGGAGACAGTTTTCAATCATCTTCATTTCTGACCTGAGGACTAAAAAAAATCGAACAGAGCATAATAGTTTCATTTGCAATAAGGTGTTACACCAAGGAAAAGTGTTAATTCAACCCCTCTGACTTCAAATGGGCATCAAAAAGGGGTCAAAACCCATACAGGGCTATATAGGATAAAAAATTTAATCATGTCTTCAAAAGTACTGAATAAATTTTAAATTTTATGGAAAGAATCTTTTTCACAAGAAGCTTCCCTTTCTGTCAGCAATAAGGCCTAAAGAGGCTCTTTCATGACTAAATATTTCCTCCTTTTCAGGTGATATTTGGGACAACTGGTGGCCAGTTGATAGTGATGAGTTCCACAGGGGCCATGTTGACTCAGGTGATCATCAACGACAGCATGGAGATAAGCACCATGGCATGGTCTTGTGAGAAATTCAACATGGACGAATCTGATGCCAAAAGTAGCACCACTGATAACATCAGCCATCCCTCAGAAGGTATGACACACCTGAAAATGTATGCTACAACACACTTGTCAATGTATGCTACAACACACCTGTCAATGTATGCTACAACACACTTGTCAATGTATGCTACAACACGCCTGTCAATGTTTGCTACACCACACCTGTCAATGTATGCTACAACACGCCAGTCAATGTGTGCTACAACACGCCTGTCAATGTATGCTACAACACACCTGTCAATGTATGCTACAACACGCCTGTCAATGTATACTACAACACACCTGTCAATGTATGCTACAACACACCTGTCAATGTATGCACAACACGCCTGTCAATGTATGCTACAACATGTCAATGTATGCTACAACACACCTGTCAATGTATGCTACAACATGTCAATGTATGCTACAACACACCTGTCAATGTATGCTACAACATGTCAATGTATGCTTCAACACACCTGTCAATGTATGCTACAACACACCTGTCAATGTATGCTTCAACACGCCTGTCAATGTATGCTACAACACACCTGTCAATGTATGCTACAACACACCTATCAAGGTATTATATGACATACTTGTGAAGATATGTCACCACACACCTATCATGTATAGCACTACACACCTGTCAATGTATAACATGATAGATTCCTGACGGCATGGGGTTTTCTCAAGGTATTCTGGTTTCTTTCCATACTAGATCCTGCATGCTTCAGTATGGGTCTATAAGAATCATACATTTATGTTGATTACTTGTTTCACAATTGCTGTAATGGTAATTGACGTTTTATTACTGTTTTTAGCTCACCTGTCTTAAAATCTTCAAACAACTTCTTCTCAATAACCAAAAGGCCCAGGGTACTGATATTGGGCCTGTAGCATGCTGGGAGGAAGGGCTTCCAAGTTTGTTCAAATGAATGACCTTGACCCACTTTCAAGGTCACAGGGTTCAAATGTCTTAAAATCTTCAAACAACTTCTTCTCAATTACCAAAAGGCCCAGGGTACTGATATTGGGCCTGTAGCATGCTGGGATGAAGGGCTACCAAGTTTGTTAAAATTAATGACCTTGACCCACTTTCAAGGTCACAGGGGTCAAATGTCTTAAAATCTTCAAACAACTTCTCAATGACCAAAAGGCCGAGGGTACTGATATTGGGCCTGTTTCATGCTGGGATGAGGGGCTACCAAGTTTGTTTAAATGAATGACCTTGACCCCCTTCCAAGGTCACAGGGGTCAAATATCTTAAAATCTTCAAACAAATTCTTCTCGATAACCAAAAGGCCAAGGGTACTGATATTGGGCCTGTATCATGCTTGGATGAAGGGCTACCAAGTTTGTTCAAATTCATGACCTTGACCCACTTTCAAGGTCACAGGGATCAAATGTCTTAAAATCTTCAAACAACTTCATCTCAATAACCAAGAGGCCAAGGGTACTGAAATTGGGCCTGTAGCATGCTGGGATGAAGGGCTACCAAGTTTGTTCAAATTAATGACCTTTTCCCACTTTCAACCTAATGTCCTTGTTCGACATTCGAGGTCACAGGCGATGCAGGCCCATTGGGCCTCTTGTTATGTTGGACAAACTTATTTGATAATTCATAAAAAAAATCTGAAGATGTATTTTTATCTCATCAATTTGATTGTTTACCTTATTGTTTATCACCATGGTTACACATTGTTTTTTCAGCTTCCTCTGCCGTAGATAGCAACCATGTCTTGGCCATCTGCTTCAAGTATGGAGCGATTTACCTGATGTCAAATTACGATGACATTTGTCCACGAGTTGTCCATACTTTACTCACAGGTAAGATTTTGGTTGCTAAAAGAAAAAACTAAATATTGTCCGTCAAACATTTTAGAGATTTGTCACTTACCAATTTCACCTCATATATCCCCATAAAGTACTGGTTTTGTGTTGAAACTGCAATAGAATGGTGGTGGTGGTGGGATTTTCATTAATCTAAATTCTACGATTGGGAGATGAGAAAGCCAACACTGCAGCTGATTTCGGAATCGGTCCAGATTCCAATAAGACAGCTATGAGATTTCTTTCAAAATGGAAACAGATTTAGTGTATCAGAAGCTTACTAAATGAACAGTGTACTTTAAAACCTTGTGGCCTAGGTTAACACTCTATAGCTGTGTAACATAGAGAATGCCATAGGGACACTTTGCTGATTAGCTGAGGCAAGGTCTTTGACCCATTTAGCCTTCTTCTGTCAACTCTGTGTGCAGAGAATGCACTGTTTTCTTTAGAATGTTTGACCCATTTAATTGTCTTCCGTCAATTCTGTGGTCAGAGACTGCAACTCTGTGTTCGGAGAAATGCACTGTTGTCTGTGAAATGTCAGCTTATTATGGGATGTACTCAGCTAATGTTTTCTGATCAGTGTCTGGCATTCCACAGTTGTTGTTACCAATGATTTATCCACAGTTCAATCTGTGGTAATACAACCCTCTGTATTCTGACATCCTGTGAAATCTGACCAATACCTTGTTTCTCACACGATTGAGGATTAGAAGGGTAAATATAACCAATATCAGGTCTCTCAAAGGATGACGGATTAGACAGGTTAAACCAAAATGTTGTGTCCCATAGGGTGTTAGCTTAGACAGGTCAATCAGACCAATATTAATTGTGTCAGTTAATGTGTTGAAATCAACAAGGTAATCAGACCAAAACATGTATCCACCAGGGTGTCAGATTAGACAGGTTAATTTGACCAATATGTTGTATTCCACAGGGTGTCATATTAGACAGGTTACACTGACAAATATGTTGTATTCAACAGGGTGTCAGATAAGACAGGTTACACTGACCAGTATGTTGCTTTTCCATGAATGTTGGATAAGTCAGGTGTCACTGTAAATTATTGTTTTTTTTATTTAAGTGATAAAAAACTGTCAAGAAGATGAAACTCATAGATTGCTTCACTGCATAAAGTCAAGAGAATCTGTTGAAGAGATACAATTTGAATAAAAAAAGAAAGAAAATATAAGTAAAAACTTCTTTTGAATAATTGAATTCCATTTCGGATTTTATTGAATGTCTTGTAATTTCATATCACTGATCCAGAACTGAATTGTTTCAGCTATTCTCGCTAGTAATCACTATAGGAAATGAAATCAATAACTGATCACCTAATATATCAGACGACACAAGTCCAAATCTGAAATTGACCAATGGTGATTTGGTGTTGACGTTTTCGCTGAGCTCACAGGATTTGTTAGATATTTATGAGATTACTATGGCAGACCCTGTCTTGTTTTCCTGTGCTATACAACCCTTTGGCATTATTGTACTCCACATGTAGAATCTGGATGGATTTTTGGAAGAAAATTGTTGGAAATTTCTTTGATAACCCATACAAAAGGGTGATCTGGCATTTTCAGAGCAAAGCTTGTCAAATTGAATCAACCCAATTATAGCCCAAGGAAAATTTTCTGTCAAGTAATGGGTGGGTAAAAGTGACTGGGAGGGAGCACATCCTGATTGCTTCGTAACGGATGTATGTGAAAGCTTTTAGCTCCGATGGTTTGCCTACTATAGACAATGAACAGTTGCTGCAATTGTAGTCCAGGATGTGCCAATCTGGATTTCAGGTCATGGCATATCAAACAGCTATGCAGTAGTAGCTTTAAGATGCCATTTTTCAGACATTTCTGTCAAATGTTTTGTCATATAAACCCTTTTTAACATCATTTGAATAGTCTACTTTTGAATTTCTGACAGGGATGATCTTAATGGTGGGCATTTCTCCATGATCCATGCCAGTTTTGAATTATTTATGATTTGAAAAACGGTCGCATCAATTGTTTCCTCTTCCAAGATTCCTAAATTATTGAATAATACAGTCCTTTTAGGTCAAGAACGGGACATAACTTCTGCCTGTATATATATCCTTGTTATTGATAAAACTTATAGACCTTTTCCCTACTTCGTTCCTTTCCTTTTCTCCCTCTCTCACCCATATTTACTTCCTCTCCATTCCCTACCTTGGAGGACAGACAGAGAGGAGAAGGAAGAGAAATACCCTTCCTCCTTCTCTCTGCTATCTTTTTCCCTTCCACTTCCTTATCCCCTCCCTACCTCTTTCCTCTCTCCCATTTTCTCTTATTCCCTCTTCCCCTTTCTGTACCTTCTTCTTCCTCTCATCAGCCTCTTGCCCACCTTATCCACTCTTTTCCCCTTAACTTTTCAAAGCCTCTACCTTCTGTCCTTCTGACCATCTCTCTCCTCCTCCTTCTTCAATACCTTCTCCCTCCTTCCTTTCTTCACCTTGTTCTCTTGCCTTCACTCTTTCTTCTTAAATTTTTCCATGCCTCTACCTTCTGTCCTTCCAACCAACCCCCTCCTCCTCCTCCCATACGTTTTCCCTCTTCCCCTCCTTCACCTCGTTCTTTTGTCTTCTCCACTTTTTCTTCCCCACATTTTCCACTCCTTTGCCGTAATTCTCTCCCTCCCTCCTGCATTCTGTCCATTCACACTTCTCATTGCCTTATACTGTCTTTCAATATTTTACCATCTTGACATGTAAGAAATAAATATAGTGAGTTATGATTATATAAAACATCTGTGTAATGACATCACAGTTTTTTATGCATTGAATTGTTTGAATATGCTTTTAGAAATTGAGTGAAAGGCATAAAATGAATCACTTACTGATTAGGTGATTAAGATATTTGGCAGTCTTAAATGGCTTCCGCATTATTATCACAGTCAAAGCGTTTAATTTCTTGTCATGACTAATCATTTCTAACTTGTACATTACCGTCCACAAAGAATATGCTGTGTTGTGATTCTGACTAATATGCGCTATTGGAAGGTTTGCAGGGGGCTGACTCATTAAATGATACTGGAGTTGATCTAAGCTGCATTACATCCCTGAATAATCGTACAATCATCTCCGGGGCAACTCTCTGGACGACGTATCCCATCGTCAACGGCGGTAGCAGATACAGAAATTGTCGGCCCACAATAATGGCTGTTCTTTGCAAACAATCAATGTACTGTAATCAAACAATATGTTTCTGAATGAGACTGGTATAACCGAATTATCTCTGTGTAGAGACACTCACGGACGGGTGGCATATCATAACCCACGCTCGCAATCAATACCGGCCGATTCACAACAGGCATTCCCGCGCTCTTGAGCACGCAGGCCAAACAATCACCTGAGGCCTATGACATTCATGTTATCCATTATTCAGAGAAGCCTTTCTTACTTCATGTTTTGATTGTGATATTTCTAGTGCTGGCTACAAATAAGTACAAATGGTGTGACAATCATCTGTAAATGTAGGGCAGAAAAAATTGAAGTCTTCTCTTGATCCGATTGTCACTCTTCAGACAAACCTAGATTCTTGTGTTAAAGGTTCTCTGTAATTCAGTTGGAATCAGAAAGAGGTTTTACAATGATCTGTATGATTGCAAACAAGAGGGGAAGGAGTTTGGCTTTACAAGAATGTTGTCAAATTTTATACAAGGTAACATAGACGTTGGTTTTACCGTGAGTTTGTTGAATTAGACACAAGTTTGGAGCAGAATGTGACTTTACTAAGTTTTTTGTCGAATTATACACACACATGAGGGCACAGAATTCTGCTTTAAAAAATATGTGTTCAATTGGACACAAGATGGTGACACAATGTGACTTGACCACACGTTAGTCCAATTAGACTCAGGACAGGGCACAATGTGGCTTGACCACACATTTGTCCACTTAGACACAGGACAGGGTCCAATGTGGCTTGACCACACGTTGGTCCAATTAGACACAGGACAGGGTACAATGTGGCTTGACCACACATTTGTCCAATTAGACACAGGACAGGGCACAATTAGACTTGACCACACGTTGGTCCAATTAGACACAGGACAGGGTACAATGTGTCTTGACCACACGTTTGTCCAATTAGACACAGGACAGGGTACGATGTGACTTGACCACAGGTTGGTCCAATTAGACACAGAACAGGGTACAATGTGGCGTGACCACATGTTTGTCCAATTAGACACAGGAAAGGGGACAATGTGACTTGACCACACGTTTGTCCAATTAGACACAAGACAGGGTACAATGTGACTTGACCACACGTTGGTCCAATTAGACTCAGGACAGGGCACAATGTGACTTGACCACACGTTGGTCCAATTAGACACAGAACAGGGTACAATGTGACTTGACCACACTTTGGTCCAATTAGACACAGGACAGGGTACAATGTGACTTGTCCAATTAGACACAGGACAGGGTACAATGTGGCTTGACCACACGTTTGTCCAATTAGACACAGGACAGGGTACAATGTGACTTGACCACATGTTTGTCCAATTAGACACAGGAAAGGGGACAATGTGACTTGACCACACGTTTGTCCAATTAGACACAGGACAGGGTACAATGTGACTTGACCACACGTTGGTCCAATTAGACACAGAACAGGGTACAATGTGGCTTGACCACATGTTTGTCCAATTAGACACAGGAAAGGGTACAATGTGACTTGACCACACGTTTGTCCAATTAGACACAGGACAGGGTACAATGTGACTTGACCACATGTTTGTCCAATTAGACACAGGACAGGGTACAGTGTGGCTTGTCCAATTAGACACAGAACAGGGTACAATGTGGCTTCTTTCTTGATTCTGTCCCACTAGACACTAACTTGATTCTGTCCCACTAGACACTTACTTGATTCTGTCCCACTAGACGCTTACTTGATTCTGTCCCACTTATTAAGACACTTACTTGATTCTGTCCCACTAGACACTAGAAAGGGATCAAAATGTTGTCAACC